ACTCACTCAGATGAAACTGTAGTGCCTGAAAAACTCCAGGAAGGAAATCCCTGGGCTTTCCCGAGCTTAACTGGTAGGAGTTGAATGGAAAGGAGGTACAGGCAGGCTCAGACCTCTGTGAGTGTGAGGCCAGCAAGCTCTATATAGCAAGTTCTAGGTCAGCCAGGGCTACGCTGAGACTCTGTCTCAGAAAGTAAATAAAACAGAAAACAAGAGTATGTTGTATAGCTGGGCGGTGGTGGCCCACACCTTTAATCCCAGCACTCGAGAAGCAGAGGCAGGCAGAGCTCTGTGAGTTTGAGGCCAGCCTGGTCTACAAAGACTGTTACAGAGAAACTTTGTCTCGGGGAAAAGAAAAGAATATGTTGTACATAGATACTGCTAGACCCTAAGGGTTAGGGACTGTTATCGGGATTTGGTTAGCCTTCTTAAGGAATTTGGGTTTATCTTAGAGGAAATAAGATTCCATTGAATCTAGTCAGGACCTGGTTGATGAGATTACTATCTTCTGAAGATCTCTTTAGGTTCTTTGTCTTTCTTAACTCGCTCAGGAACTTCGGATTTCTGGCTAGTGATACAGGTATTTCCAGAATCTCCTTGCAATCCCAAGACTCTTCCCATTGTTTTTGTCAGTAAGACCTCCCAGTTCATAAAGTTCCTGTTTGCCTTCCTTTCTTGGCTCCAAGATGGAAAGGTCTGAGAGCAGATCCTGCTTCGGCCTTTTCACATGGCGTCTGTTAACCAGCGTGATACCTGGTGTGTAGAGGGACTAAACACGCTTGTAACCAGCATAATACCTGGTATGTAGAGGGACTAAACATGCTTGTAACCAGCATAATACCTGGTGTGTAGAGGGACTAAGCACATGTTCACTGAATTTCATGTTAGACATTTATTACCCTCATATTTGAAATATATATTGTGCTCCTAGTATGGAGGCTCGTTTCTGTGATTCTAGCATGTGGAGAAATTGAGGCAGGAGGCTTGTCATGAGTTAGTGGGCAGCCTCAGAGTGAGACCTTATGAAAAAGAAACAAAACATAACAAAGGGGGTGGGGTCTCTCAGCAGGTGCAGGCTCTTGCCACCAAGCCTGGCTACCTGGGTGGGACCCCAGAACGCCTAGAGTGGCACGAGAGAACCAACCCCTTGAAAGGAGTTCCCTGACTCATGACATGATACACACACATTCACAGACTACACATATGTACACACACACACACACACACAAAAATAACTGTCAAACTAACAACAACAATGGCACTGAAATGTGGTGTCACATACTGTAGTTCTGGCACAGAAGGCAGAGGAAGTAGAATTGCTCCAAACTCTGGGTTGGCCTTGTCTTCGAAGGAAGTTCCAGGCTAGCCTGGACTACATACTAAGATGCTGTCTCAAACAAACAAACATCTCAAAGAAACAGCAATAAAAGACAGAAGGGGGATATTTCCCAGTTGCAGGAATGGCTTTGAGGTTTCTAGTTTACTGTCTTTAACAAAATGGTTTTATTAGAATGTTTTCTCAGTTGAAATGCTAGGGTAAAACTGAATTCACTTCATTAAAAGATAATCAACCCCAAGTTTTCTCTTACCATACACAGTAGTAGGGAGGATGGGAAGGTGCTGGGGATGGTGAGCTCTCCAGCAGGCCCAGGCTTTGGAAGCAGGAAGATCAGGAGTTCAAGGTCATGTCAACTACATAGTGGTTCCAGGCCAGCCTGATACACCCCAAACCCAGGCTCAAAACAGCAGCAGCAACAGTGAACAATAGTTAAGGCAGTAGTCGTGATGTTTACTGAGAAGTCTAGAAGAATGGTACAGGTTGCCCACAGGAACAGGCGTTCTGAACACTAACAAAGGCAGCTTTGTACAGATGCTGGGGACAAAGAGATAAGATGGTTAAAGTGTATCAGTCACCAGTCCGGGGAAGAGGTTTTGCTCTTAGAAGTGGTGAAATTAGGACATCCATACGCCAGAAGAACTTAGGGGAAGAATTTGGATGATGTCAGTCGTCTCTAGAGAACGTTTCCGCTGTCACCTTACTGTGACTTCACAGAATTCACCCGAGAAACCGAGCTGTAAAGGTAAGAAAGAGTCCTTTGGTCTACGGTTCTGATAACTCAGAAGAAGTTTTCAAAGTTTCGTGAGAAGTAGAGAGACTTCAGTTCAAACTTGTTATCTGTAGATTTTTGAGGTATTGAAACTTGGCTAGTTTTGTAGTAAGTTTATAGAGATATATTTTAGACCGGACTGTCAGAATCAAACTTTGTTAATATGCAAATGGCCTTATAATACTCACTGAACTAAACTGAAGCTGTTAACGTGTAGATTTCTAAAATGTACTTCTCTGCGCGCGTGCGTGCGTGCGTGCGTGCGTGCGTGCGTGCGTGCGTGCGTGTGTGTGTGTGTGTGTGTGTGTGTGTGGTGTGTGGGGTGTGTCTCAGGGGCACAGGCGGAGGACTGAGGACACCTTGCAGGAGTGGGTTCCCACCTTACACCATGTGGGTCTTGGCAATCAAATTCAGGTCTTCAGGCCCAGTGGCAAGCGCCTTTATCCACTGAGCCATGGCACTGGCGCTGTGTAATTATCCCCGAGTAACTCAGACGTTGGAAAGTATTATGCACGAACTTGCTCATTTCATTGCAGTGTAATTTAGTTGAGAGAGTCAGCTCTAGGGAAATGATTCATTAAAATGTGCTGGCCCTTTGAAGGGATTTCACCGGCTCCCTGGCTCTTCCCCCAGGGGTAAATGCTTTGAGCACTTAGATGGCTCTGTGCTTTCCTCCTGGCTAGGAATTCCAGGTCTTCTCTGGATGACCAGCCGATTCGATGTCTGGTCACTTGAGTGTGTGACTTCAACCCTTGCCGTTCTCTGAGTGTGTTTTTCTGTCTGTCCGCCACTGTATCCCCCTTCTGTTTGTCCTTCTGTGTATGGCTTTCTGTCTGTCCGCCATTGTATCCCCTTCTCCTGTTTGTCCTCCCCACACCCCAATTTCTTTGAATCCTACTTGTCCTTTAAAGCTTTCAGTCTGGTGGGCACATTTGTCAAGTCCCGGGGAGTGCATGGAATTTTGTATCAAGAGCTCGTAGACAGGCACAGAGCTGAGTAATTGGGTGCAGGGAGTAGGTGCTTCGTCTGCTTCACGTGACACGTAGAAACAAGACCGCTGTGGCATGCATGTCTGAGCTGTCAGAAAACATGTGTTCACTTATTACTTAGTAGATGATAATACCAAGTGAGTTCACCTGTGAACCAGAGTGGACTCTTTGGACCATTGGCCTATCTATGTGCTGGCTACAGGAACATCTGGGACACCACAGTGGCTTCCATGTCACCCGCTGCCGAGTCAGAAAGCCCTGAACATCTTGCTGACTTTATAACTGTGGGAATATTACTTAGACCCCTTGTGACTCAATTTCCCAAGTGTAAGTTATGAATATATAGCAAGAGGCCGGCCTGGGCAAATTCCAGGATAGCCTGAACTGCATAGCAGGACCCTATCTTAAAAGCATTTTTATAGTAATTTTTAAAATTATTTCAAAAAATAAGTTAGAGATCTCTGTTCTCTAACCTTCCTACATTAGTGATGTTTCCTTTGAGAGCACCCTGCTTCCATCCAGCGTAACTTAGTGGTAGAGCATGTTCTTAGCATGCATGTGCTCCTGGGTCCAACCCACACCCCCCACACAGGCAAACAACCTAAAAGACTGCTGTGCTTCCTTAACAGCTAACGCTGTTCAGCGGATGAATGTACTCCCCCCCCAACCCCCCCCCCCCCCCCCCGCAGGTTTTTGTTGTTGTTTGTTTTTTGTTTTGTCAAGACAAAGTTTCTCTGTGTAGCTTTGCACCTTTCCTGGAACTCACTCTGTAGCCCAGAAATCCTCCTGCCTCTGCCTCCCGAGTGCTGAGATTAAAGGCGTGCATCACCACTGCCCGGCTTCCCCCAGGTTTTTGTTTGTTTGTTTGTTTGTTTGTTAGGCAGGGTTTGAATCCAGGACATGCTAGGCAAGCACTACATCCCCCTTTTGTTTTTGAGACACATCTGACCATGTATCTCAAAGTGGCCGGAACTCCTCCACAGCCTGGGCTACCCACAAACTTGAGCCAGCTCAAGCCTGACTCAGGCTTATGACCAGGGCTTGGCTCAGCGGGCCAGTTCCTAGTCAGCGCAGTACCTCCCACCTAGCTTACGAAGATGTTCTGATAAAGACTGGCCTGTGTCCCCTGGGTCTGCTGTCATTTCTACCATCTCTGGACCTGAGAACAGTGTGCCAAGAATGATTGTCTGGAGAGTTCACTCCCACAATAGTTTCCTTTTTCTGTAACTCTTTATTTACCCTGCAGATAATCTGTGTGACAAAATTAAGAGTGCTGTGCTGCAGAATTAGGGAGTAGGTTTTTGAGTATGTTCTTGGACAGTTTCATACATGTACATAATGCATTGTGATTGCGCGTTCCCCTGCCTTCCCTTTCCTGCCTTCATGTCTTTTTGTTTTGTCTGTGTCTCTCGTCGGGGTTTGTCCAACTGGGTCTGTGTGGCCATGGGATTGGAAATAAATATCCACTGGAGCTGAGTTGGGGCAAGTTCTGACAGTGAGTGGTACACAACTTAAGACAATGGCCCCTCCTCCAGAGGCTGCCAGTCAGCAGTAGTTGACCAGTAAGGGGTAGGATCCATGAGCCCCTCCCTCATCCCCACTGACTGCTGAGAGCTTGTCCTGGGCAGGCCTGGTGTAAGGGAGCGGTCTTAACCTTCAACTTGGAGTTGTGCTGGGAAACCTTTGGCCAAGGGTGCCTTGGTTTTTGTTTTGTTTGGCTTGTTTTGTTTTTTATCAACTGATAGTCAACTAAGAAATACTTAGCCTTGACCAAAGGTAGAAGAGAGATGTGATTGCCAGAGTAAAGATAGGAAAGGCCAGGTCGTTTCAATTTGATGCCAAGATAATTGAGTAACCGGACACACTGGGTCCCTCTAATTGGCCTAATCAGCGTGTAGACGTTCCTAGTGAGTTTGAGCACCTGAGCTGACCAGGAACGCATAGCTGCGGGCTGTGAGGTCTGGTCTCATCCCCCCGGAAGGTGCCCCTGTGAAGGTGTCCCTGTTTGGGAAGGTGATGGCCATCGTTGTCTGAGTTAGACCTGCTTCAGTGTGGGAGCCGTCCTGTGTCACTCATCTCTCCACCTAAGGAGGTGAGGTACTTCAGGGCCTGGGGCTTGATCCTGTGGGCGTCCTGCTTGTTCAGGACAGAAAATGAGAAAAGGCTCTCGGGAGACTACAAGTGCTAAGTAGACATTTGGACTATGAAAGTGATCAGACTTTGTATCATTTTCAGCTAGCCTACAGAATACTGGAATTCGTCATGACATTTTCATACATGTGTATACAACTTTTTATGGGACATTTTAAATCTTAAAATAGAGAATAAAAATGGAAACTGTACATGTAGCAAGAAATCTTTTTTTGGTTTCTCTTTTAAACTTTGTTATGTTGGCTTTGTCCTTTCTTGATCTCTTTCTCTCTTTATCCATTCTGAACTTTGACCTGTTGGCATCTTTTCTGTACCTGGCGGCCATTCTGGAAGGTTTTATTTTACCTTTGAGTTTGATTATACAGTGAGTCAAATACAGGTTTTAAGTTGGTTTCAGAAGTGGGTTTACATTGAAAAAAATTGAACACTAAAGGGGGTGGGGGTGGATGGAGTGTGGTATGTGAAAAGGCAGTGTATAAAGTGTGCGTTGGTGTGCGTTACCAGTAACAACCAATTCTCACTGATGAACTACTGTTTCTTAGTCTCTCCATACATCTGTTCAGGGCTCCAAGAGCTGGGGAAACTCAGGAAATGTGATTCATATTATTCTTTTTTTTTAATAGTAATTTCTGTTATAACTAATTATTGGAAAGAAGCAATTAAGTTGGGCATGGTGCCACACACTTGTGATCTCAGCACTCTGCAGGCTGAGGCAGGCGGGAGGATTGTGAGTTTGAGGCCAGCCTGGACTCTGGTGAGACCCTGTGGCAAGAAGCAAACAAAACAACCAGGGGCTGAAGATGGGGAGCTAGAAAGGAAATGGAGGGGCCAGATTTAATGAAGGTTGCATGCTTTTAGTTTTGGACTCAGTGTGAAGGGAGTGGTGTAGCTAACAGGATTCAAGCAGGAATGCCAAACACTGTAGGAGACGTCTGTAGTCTCAGCATTTGGGAGGTGGAAGGAGGAGGGTCAAGAGTTCAAAGTTCTCCTTGTCTGCTTGACAAGTTCAAGGCCCACATGGATTATCTGAGACTGGACTCAAGCAAAGAAAAAAGAGAAAAGAATTGATCTGAGGAGTGAGGGGTGACCATGGGATATCCGTTTAGAAAGGTCGGAGCTGTCCTCTAGATCAGGATCACAGTGGTCATTAGAGGAAGTGTTGGGGAGATGAACAGCCTGATCTCTCACCTCCCAGGTTGTTGGTTTGTTTTTATACCACAGCTTGTCAAAGGACTAGAGAGAATCAAAACACTAAAGGGGTGGAATGTGGTACGTGAAAAGGCAGTGTATAAAGTGTGTGTTGGTGTGCATTACCAGTAACAACCGATTCTCACTGGTGAACTGCTGTCTCCTAGTCTCTACATACATCTGTTCAGGGCTCCAAGAGCTGGGGAAACTGAGGAAATGTGATTCATATTATTCTTACATATGCCATCCTGTCACAGGTAAGTGTTGAGTCAGCTTGTAGAATCACCTTATGAGAAGTACTGATCTGACTTGAAGTTTTTTTTTTTTAGTCAATTTCACACATATACACAATACACACAATTTTTATTTATATTTGAGGCATTATCTGAATTGTAGTCCAGGTTGGACTTGGAACTCACTATGTGGCCCAGGCTGACCTCAAACTTACGGTAATTCTACACTTGGCTACACATTAGTTTTAAAAAAGAAGTATAGTTGGCCATGGGAGCCAGAGGCAGGTGGATATCTGTGAGTTCCAGGCCAGCCAAAGATGTATGTGTGTGTGTGTGTGTGTGTGTGTGTGTGTGTGTGTGTGTGTGTGTGTGTGTATGGTAAGACCATCTCTCAAGAAACAGCAACAAAAAAAAAATAGACGTATAGAATCAGTAGTAGCAAAAATAGAAATAGGAATGTATTAGATGAGTAAGTTGATGGTGACTTTGAGCTTCAGGTGTGACCAGAAGTTTCCTTACTATGAAGTGAAAAACAGATGTTTTGACTTTCATTAGAGAAAAGCAAAACAATCGAGTTTTCAGCAAGATGTGGTGTCGAGTCTTCCATTCTAACACTTAGGAAGTAGAGGAGGAGGCATCCTTGGAGATTTTAAGGCCAACCTGGGCTACATAAGATCTTGTCTCAAAAAACAGGCCCACCATAGGTTTAATGTTGCATTTCTTTAATCCCAGCACTCACAAGGCAAATTTCTGAGTTCAAGGCTAGCCAGAGCTAGATAGTGAGACCTCATGTCAAAGAAACAGAAGTCTAGGCTGCAGAGGGCTCAGTCATTAAGAGTAAATGCTCCCCGCAGAAGACCAGAGTTTGGTTCCCAGAACCCACATTGGATGGCTCTCAGCTGCTTCTAATTCCAGCTCTTCTGGTCTCTGTGGTACCCACACATCCAAAGCATACACTCACACAGATGCACATACACATTTAAAAAGGAAGGAAGGAAGGAAGGAAGGAAGGAAGGAAGGAAGGAAAGAAGGAAGAAAAAAGAAAGAGAAAGAAATCTAAAAACAGAACAGAATGCCCCCCCCCAGGCTTCAGTAGCAATACCTCGTGTATAGTTTCTGAATAAAGTTTACTGTGCCTTTATATGGGGTGCTAAGTGGTGTATATTCTCCAAAACTGCAAGTAAATAATGAACTTTACATGTTAGTTGCAAGAGAGTATATTTTGGCAGTTTTTACAGACTACATGTAAGAATATTTAAGACAGCACTGTAGAAGTGTGGTTGTTTAAAAGCAGTTTTTCAACTCAAAACAGTTCTGTGATCCACCTTCTCTGCCGTTACAAGCCTGTGTCAGTTAGCTGCATGATTCCTTCTCGTGATTGCTTGCCTCTCTTTTTATTTCTTTTGCCTTTTAAAAAATGACTTACATTTTTATTTTGATTGCATTGGTGTTTTGCTTGTATGTCTATGAGGGTGTCTGATCCCCTGTAACTAAAGTTAATAGACAGTTGGGAGCGGTCATGTGGTTGCTGGGAATTGAACCTGGGTCCTCTGGAAGAGTAGCCAGTGTTCTTAACTACTGAGCCATCTCTCTAGCCCTCTTCATTTTGTGACAGGATCTCTCTGTGTAGTCCCAGCTGTCCTGGAACTCACTTTGTAGATCACGCTGGCCTTGAACTCACAGAGATCTGCCTTTCCCACCCTAGTACCCACACCCAGCCCTGCTTCTTAAATTAAAAATAACTGCTTATGCATAATTATGTTTAGATGATTTTTCACATTTCAGCTGGTTGTTTTGACAGGGGCTAGATATGACCTAACAAAGGGTACTTGGTGGAGTACTATGTTTACGTGGTCCTTCTCATTCTGTGGACACATCTGTATTTATTCTGTCAACATTTTCTTAGTAAATATGAGGTGATTTAAGAGTTGATTGCATGTTAGTTGATCTGTTGATTTGATGTTTTTTTTTTTTTTTTGAGATGGGTTTTATTAAGCAGCTTGATTTAGGCTTGAATTTGTAACCCCCCCCCTCCCGTGGTACTGGGATCGCAGGTGTATCCATCATTGCTCCCTGCCACCCTTTAAGAGGGGGATCTTGCCCATGATGGCCTTGAATTCTGGCCTTTATCCACCAGCGGCACAGACCACAGGTGCACATTCTCAGCCTTTAACATGTTTTTGGTGTATCTGTGTTCCAAGTTCCAAGTATATTTATTTTTTTTTTATATTTCTAGTTGTGAGTCTAGCCTTTAATGGCTGATCCATCTTTTCTTTTTTCTTTCTTTTTTTTTTCCAGAGCGCACTTGCTAGGCAAGTGCTCTACCACTGAGCTAAATCCCCAACCTCCCCGTCTTTTCTTTTTTAAAAATCCCCCCCAGAGAGAGAGAGAGAGAGAGAGAGAGAGAGAGAGAGAGGAGGAGGAGGAGGAGGAGGAGGAGGAGGAGGAGAATATGCTGGAGATTGTGGTCCTGACAACGAAACTGGCTTCTCTGGGTCTCCTGTCATTTGAAAAGTCTGAGATTGAGCACACGAAGGGTTTGTTGTCTTCGCTATTATTTCCCAGGCCTCTACACAGTCTTACAAGTGCCTTCCAGCTACGCAGAGCTCTCGGGCTGCCGCATTGGACGTTTTCCGGTAGTCGGCTGGCACTGGCTGCTGTTGAGTCACCACTGACTCAGGCCTGGAGCACCTCAGCCTTCTGTCTGTGCAGCATCCAGGGCCCCAGAGTGTTGTATGGTGGCCAGTTGCCCTTTCATGCTTCTTGAATTTTCCCCAAGTTGTCGAGAAAGTTGACGTCACCTCCAATTACCTAAGTCAAACTTGTGAGTTCTTGAATTCAGTTCAGGTGGAAAGGTTCCATTTGGCTAACAAAACCAAGATGTTTCTTAGATGCAGGCTCTGTGTACTTTAGTCCCAAAGGAGATGCTGCTCTTTTCTTTAAAATAAATAATACCTTTAAATAGAATAATATTTAAATGTGTGTCTGTGTGTGTGTGTGTGTGTGTCTGTGTGTGTGTGTGTGCACATGGGTGCACTGTGTGTACATGTAAGTGCAGATGCCCGTGGGGCCTAAAGCTAAAGGCGTTAGATTCCCCTGGAGCTGTTAGTGGAGACAGTCTGAGCTGCCTGAGGTGGGTGTTGGAGCAGAACACGTTTTTTAATTGCACGTTAGAGGTAAACATAATCAGGCAGGACAGTGTTTGGGGGAATATTAATTCTTATATTTCTGAGAACTTGTAAATCAGCTGAATAAAATAATGATAGGTAAAGCATGTAAGTTATTGTAACATCCCTGTTTTTCACCTATATGCACAGGATAGTTGCTGACTCAGCCCCTCATTCTTTACACTTTTGCCTGGGAATAGATTTTTTTTCCTTGAGCTGCAGCTGCAGCAGCAGAAGAAAGTCATCCATCTGCCCCCATCTCTGAACATTCTAACTGGATGCCACGGCCCATGGCGACAACACAAAGAGCACATCTGGAATGGTGGAGAGCTCCTTCACACTGCCATGTTGTT